CTCCTCTGGCATTTCAGTTTAGGCCAGCGTTTCACCCCCTCCCACGGGAGCCAGGGCCGCGCCCGCACCGCGTGCCAAAGCTTCCGCCGGTGCGTGCGTAAAGGCGCGCCGTTAACCCCCCTCTGGTTTCCTTCTTCTCCCCAGGGATCACCTCCTTGCTGCCCGGGTCCCCCTGCCACTTCCCCTTCATCTACAAAAACAAGAATTATTTCAACTGCACCCGGAAAGGGTCCAAGGAGAACCTCCGATGGTGCGCAACCTCCTACGCCTACGACCAGGACCGCACCTGGGTGTACTGCTGAGGCCCAGGTGAGACGGGACGGACGCGCGCCCGGGTGCCTCCAGGGCAGGGACCCAACTGGGGGCGCGGCTGATGGGAACGCGGGGTCAGGGAGCATCCCGGGTGTGTGTGTGTGTTGGGGGGCACTGTTGATGGGAAGGTAGGATGTGTTCCTCCCAGTGTGCAATTTGCCCAGGTTCCCGGCCAGGCCAGCGGCCCTTCCGTGGATGAGATGGAGTGTGTGGGGGCGGAGTGGGGGAGACAAGCCGGGGCAACTTCCCAAATGGGAAGGCGGGGAGAAATCGGGGTGCCCATGGCAAGCAGGAGCGCAGGGGGAGGAGGTGGGCGCAGCTTGCAGACCCGGAATCCCAAGTGTGGGCCCGGGAGCTTTGAGTGTGAACCAGTAGGGAGGAGGGAAGTGGGATTTCTCCAGCTGGACAGGAAGACTACCTCCCGGTCCCCAGGGGCCCCGGCGCAGTGTGGTCGGTGCCCGTTGCCCCATCGCAGAGGGGCGAACCAAGGAAAAGGGGGGCTTCACCTTTCTTCCCTGTCCTCCGGGCCCTCCCCACCTCAGCGCTTAAGTCAACTCTCTCTGCGGGACCAACTCTATCCTTCCTTTTGTTCTCCTGAGTTCCTCTGGCTTCAGCCTTCTAAAGCCGGAGAAATCCTCTCCGGATCCCCCGCATGGAGCCACCGGCTTAACCACTGGCATGCTGGGATTTAAGCGTCAAGAGGAGCCCTTTCGGGAGCTGCGTGGACCAAACCCCACCGCCCCTTCCCTCCAGGATGGAAAACGCTGCCAATATGTCTCCTTTCTCCCTCATGCGCGTGGCTTACGGGTGATGTCAACATCCGTGGCGCCTCCTCCCTGTGGCCTGGCCGTGAAAACGCTCTCCCTTGAATGGAGGAGCAGCAAGAGTGGGTGTGGAGCTCTGGGTACCATCTGAACAGGGTCGCTATTCAGAAACACCCACCATGGTCCCCAGTCTGTGTCTAAGACTGAGAATACTTTTTAAAAAATATATATTTTATTGATTTTCTTAGAGAGAGGAAGGGAGAGGGATAGAGAGTTAGAAACATCCATGAGAGAGAAACATCGATCAGCTGCATTCTGCACACT